TTCAATTATTATTATCAAAATTAATTATTTTTACTTTTTACTTACTTGTAAGTTCTTTTTGTTGGAAATATTTATCTAAAAGTGTAAACTTATCATTTTGAGTTTGTGAGCATTAATTTATGTTATAGGGTATTTTGTATAAGTTTCTTGTATTTGTAGGGTTACTTGTGTATGTTTTATATAGGTGTTTTGTGTTCGCGGGTTTGACGATCCAAACCCAAGCCACGGGTCATCCAGGGGTTGATATCTTGCCCCTAGGTATTTAATGTTCAACTGCAGCTCATTTCATTCAGAACGTAAGTTTAGTTTGATAGATATTCTCTCGTTTCACTCTTCGTCTCTAGATTAGGGTTTAAATATTATGGTTTCATAGTTAGGTTTCTTCTATGTAGATTCTTTTCTTGTAATCATACGAGTATTGAGTGTGGATTGTAGTGAGGATTTTTCTATGTATTTGTTTGATGAAAACCGACTGTTTAATTATGAATGAATTGTTAATGTTGGGAATGTGTTGAGTTCTTTATTTTATATTTTGTTATATGTTATTAGAGCCCTTGTGGCTTCGCTCATGTTTGACGACAATCTGTTGAAGGATTCTTGCAGGTTTGTGTTCGTTGTTCTCTGTTCCACTTTTATTTGTACTCAGTTTTGTTGTTATTGACACCGATCGTGTCAAATCTTGTTTCTTATTCATTAGATCTTTTTAGATCTGATAACCTTTTAAGAAACGAGTTACTACGAGTTTTTTTTTTGTATTTTCTTGCAGTTGGAAGATCTTACTGATCCTGAAGGATTTGTGGTTTGCTACCTTCCTCGTGTGAAGCAGTGTCATCTCCTGGTCTACTCACCCAATCCCAACTTTTAGTGTTTAAGTAACTCTTTTAGGGAACGAACATGTGTCTGAAATAACTCTGACAAGGAACAAACCCTAAGGGAGGTGAGTAGTCATCTCCAATCTTCAAAAGTAGATTTGGACCTTTGTGAGCGTTTCTCATTCCTTTCTTCCTCTTTATTAGTTTTAGATATGGGAGATTTTGGTGTTTTGAGTACACCAGTTATATTATGATTAGTTCTTGTTTTTTGTTGATCTATGTGCTATATGTGAATTGTTGTTTCTTTATTTGTTTGTTGTTTTGTGCTTTTCTTAACACTATAGTGGTTGTCTTGGGCCCAACAAACCTGGTGACCATCTGGACACCAATATAGGTTTCTGTTTTTTCTTTGAATTATTTCCTTATTCTGTGAGTTTTTATTTGTTGTTTGTGGTTCTTTTCTTGTATATATGGTTGGTCCTACTAATCCTCCCGGTGGAAGTGGAAATGATGACTCGATTAACTTCGATGATCCTTTCTACGTCTATCCATCTAATAATGCTACTACTACTATTGTCACGATTAAACTAACTGGTAATGAAAATTTTCATCTATGGAGGAGTTCTATGTCTAGGGCCCTTAAAGCTAGAAACAAATTACGGTTTGTTGATGGTAGTTTTAAAAAAGGATTTGGTTGAAGCTAGTAAAGTGTTTAAGTGAGAAATGGCTAATTTTGTAGTATGTTCCTAGCTTTTGTCATCCATCAATGACTCTATCTATACTAGTCATGCATATTCTAATAATACTTAAGAAATTTAGGAAAATCTGTTTGAAACATACAACAAATCTGATGGGTGTTACATACACCAACGAATTAATTCTTTGAAACAAAATGGTATTTATGTGTCTGATTACTTTAATAAGCTTGATGGCTTATGGAAAGAATTCGATGGTTCGGCTAGTCTTACAAAGTGTACCCGTGAGGCTGCCGTTAAACTTAATGATCATGCTAAACTCACGAAACTTATGAAATTTCTTAGTGATCTTTATGAGTCTTATAACCAAGTTAAAAGTGCTTTTTCTATAATATCTCGTGAAGAGTCCCTTCAAATAAATGGTTCTCTATATAATGATTCTCATTCTGTTTCTAAGACCGGAAAGAGTGGGAGGGAAACTTCCTTCACTTTTGGTGGGCCATACCCTCTTTCCCTCACTCTCCTTTCCCTCACCTAAAAGCCAAGGAGTGGGTGGTAAACCCTTCCCTCACTTTTTTTTATATTAAATAAAATTAATTTTTTTGTTATGAATTATAATTTTTAAATTAATATTAAACATAAAACTTAATTAAAAATAAAAAGCATTTCATTAATTAAAATAAAACTTACATTAAACCTAAAATATAAAAAAGTAGAAAATTAAGAAAAAAACACACATAAACTAAAAATCAAACAAATCACCAACGACCTACGGAAAATATTTTTTTCAAAATTTTTTCTCTCTTCTTCATTACGAGCTCGAGAGCCGGTCCCGAGAGATGATCGACGTTTTTCATCAAAAACTTCATGTCTTCCATTCTTGTCTCTCCGCCCGCTCCTTTTTCCTTGTTTCTTCTCTTTCTTTGTCGAAAGCCAAACGTTCGGAGAAATTTAGATTATATCGATTAAACGACGATGTTATCTTCCGCATTTCGTCAATGTCCACGCTGAAATCAGATGCACTCGAAGAATTCCATTTCCCCTTTCTCTTCGCTTTGTCCCTACCCATTGGGCGTTCAATTTCTTCTAGCTCGAGTTCGTCGTCCTGATTTAAATCTAGACCGACCCGAGCATTGGAGGAGGTTGTGTAACCACTATAGCCCGTTTTCGTTCGCTTTGATTGTTGGACTCCAAAAATAAAATCCCGCTCGTACTTTTTCCACCTAGGACTTCGGACCAATAATTTCCAACAATCGTGCCACTTGAATGGTTTTCCGACTTCCTCAAGGTAAAACTGCAACGCTTCTTGAAGTATTTCTTCGTCACCTTGGCCGCTTTTTCGTTGGGTTTTTAGGTTGTATTACAACCCGTTAATTTTTGAAACCCCCTTTGCTATTTCTCGAAACTTCGAGTTAAGTTGATGTTTCGTACGGTAGTCGTCACATTTTCCTAGCTCCTCTCGAAATCGTTCTAAAATGCAAAACCAAAAATGTTCTCCCGGTTGTGCGTTTCCCTAAATCGAATCTTCAGAAATATCAACCCAAGCTTTGACCAAACTAGCTCTTCTTGTGGAACCCATAGTGTTGGATTTTGTCTTCCCGGTTGTGCGACACCCTCGCGCACTTGTTTTTTCCCTTTACGTCTTTGTGGTGGTGGTGTTGTTGAGCTTCAGGAACCATGTCTTCTTGTTCCGCGTCATCCGATTCATCGACAAGTTGGTGGTGGTGTTGGGTTAGAGTTTGAGTTTCTGTTTGAGTTTGGGGTTGAGGTTGATTTGGCGATTGTTGATCCGGAAACACAACAAAGTTTGAAAACATTTGCGACAGAACATTTGGAACTTGCATCGGGTAATATTGGCCAACATTTTGGTATTGGAATTGTAGTGGGGATTGAATGGGAGCATCGAGTTGGGGGCGGTAAACTCCTTGCTGGGATGAATCGCTAGCAAAAATGTTGCAATGAGAGATGTTTATACTAGAACCATGGCTTTTTTCCGTCGATCGAAACTTGGGGTTTGCTTATCGGGATTCAATTTTTTTTGTTGATATAAAGTAGAGAGAATAGTGAATAGTGTGATATGTTTAAGAGTTATGTGTATATATTTATAGTAGTTGTAAAAGGATAAAAACTAAATAAATAAATAAAAAGAAAGTATCCGTTACAGCCACAAAAAAATCACTTTTTACCGTTAATCAACAGTAGTTTTTCAAAAAAAAAATCGGCCAATCACAGCAAGAGAGAGAGAGAGAGAGAGAGAGTGGGAGAGGCTCTCCTATTCGTTTCCCGCACACACCTTCCCCGCGCCAAAGTGCGGTGTTCCGCCGGGCGGGAAGCCTCCCACTTCTTTTCCCCGCACCCGCTCCATCCGGCCTAAGAGTCAACCTAGTGCTTTTTATAGTAAGTTCAATAATAGGTTCTCTTTTGGTAATTCTAGAAATAAAAACAAGGGTCAGGCTGTTCAGTGTAAGAACTGTGGTCTAATAGGTCATACCATTGAGAAGTGTTATAAAATAATTGGTTATCCCAAAGATTTTAAACCTAGAAATGAAATGAATCAAAATAGTCAAACTAAAATTTTAATGTTAATTTTTACATGGTACCTTTTGGATCCTCTGAATATAGAGAGTCTGAGTTTCATCAGCTTACTAGAGATCAGTACATCAAGTTTCTTCAACTGATTAGTGAAAAACAATGTAATGAGGAAGCATCTGCTAATGCCAATATGGCAGGTACTTGTTGGTTCAATGCTTGTAGTTCTTCTTTTAATTGTAATAAATGGATTATTGATTCAGGAGCCAATCAACATATGATATCTTCTAAATCACTCCTTCATGATACTGGCGGATGTATCCAAACTTAATCTATTTGTTAGTCATCCTAATGGGACTACTGCTAAAAATTTTTAAAAAAATTAGGAATTTAAATATTTCCAATTCCTTAACTCTATTTGATGTTTTTGTTGTTCTTGAGTTCTGTAAAACCTCGTTTATTTATTAGTTAAATAAATAAATTAATGAACGAATGGTAGCCTGAAATAAATAATTATATATGCAGAGTGTTGGGTTCGAGGAGTTAGTTCCCACATTTTTAGAAGTTGGGGGTTAAAAACGTGAGTTTGGGACTCATTTTATAATTATTTATAAAGTCAGAGACTCCGTAGTAATTAGTTGAATTTAATTTAAAAGGAAATGAGGTTGAGGGGCTGAAATTGCCATTATGGAAACAAGTTTGGGGGATCGGGTATATAAACCCGTCACCCACGGATTTAACCCTAACCCTACTCACTTATGATGCAGCCGTCACTCCCACTTACTCCACCTCCGGCGCCGATCCTACCTCCGACCACCCAACACTATCAAACGATCCATGTTGCCGATTCGTGGCCTCCAGCCGCCGCCTTTGCCGGGAACAAGAACCGATAGGCGAACCACCTAGATTTGTTGCATTATTGCGCTGAGACGATGAAGTTATAGCCACAGTTGTCCGCCATCTCATGCCACCTCTCTTCTCCATTTCTTGTTGCCGGCGCTGCTTCGTTCATGGTGGTATCCGTTTCTCAGTCACGACCACTGCCGCTACACGACTCGATTCAGTTACTCGAGTTGCTGCTTTAGCTATTGCAGACTGCCGTCGTGGAGCCCCTGTCATCGCAAATCACCGCCTCCAGCCGCCAACCCTTCTTCTTTCGCCGGTGTTTCGTTCCTGCTTTGACCACCATCAGTCGCCGCCATTGCGTTTGTTGCCGATGAAGCGAGTGTTCGAGCCCTATTGTGGTTGCTAGGGCTATTACTACCGTCGCCGTACGCCACCGTGAGGTGGGTGGTCATTTCCATTTCCGAGAAAAAGACGTGTATTATGTGCGTGTTTTGGTGTGTGTTCCAGTATTCAAGTTGTGCCTTGCATCCATGGGTTGTATGAGTGACTTTGGCCATAAAACCCACCGCCACCACCGTGAGGTGGTGGCTACCACCATGTACCGCTGGGTGTGTGTATTTGTGTGTGTGTGTGTGATTAGTTTGTTTAGTGTGTTAATTTTGGGATCAGAGTTGTAAAATGTAACAAAAGGAAGAGTAATGAAAAGAAAATAGAAAACCACCACCTTAGGGCGGTGGCTGCTGCCACCGGCCGCCGTGTCGGGTGGCGGTGCGCTTTGCCTCTTGTGATAGATTCGTTTGGGGTGCTAGAAACCCTAATGGGCTCAAAGGAGCTCTAATGGACCCAATAAAACTCATATGGGCTTAATAAGATTTTAGTGGGCTTATTAGGCCCAATAAAGCCCTGCTTGTCATAAAAGGCCAACAAATTGATAAATAGGCTAATATTTGGATTGGAACACCCTAATGCCAATAAAAACCTAACTTTAAGAATTAATCGGGTCACACACACACGAGAATTATTTAATAACTTGAGATATTAAATAATAATCATTGGCAAAGATTAATCTAAGCAATATTGGACTTAATGGATTAAGTCCTTAATGGATTAAGTCCTTAATGGGTTAAGTAGGAAACTTAACCCCAATCATCATTTTATATGAAACCCTAATTTTCACTTGGGTTTATTATTGGGCCTTGATGATCGGGTTATCAATGGGCCATCCAAAGTCAAGCAATTAGACTAGAATAAGTTAATGGGCCTAGGGTAAGACCCATGTAAGGGGCTTGGGCCCAATTTGGAAAATTGGGCCATAGATGGGCCATAGTTGGGGCCTTAATGATTATATGATGTTGGGCCTCAGAATGAGACCATGTGTAGGCCTAGGCCCAATTTGGAAAATTGGGCCATGTGCTGGGCTTTGATCCCTAATTGACTTTGGGCCTATGGTTTGGGCCTTGGGCTTGAATAAGCCAAGCTAGGGGTAATGTAGTAATTATCCAAAGAATGTACTTATGGTTATGTATTGGGACCCAATTATTAATTAGGTGTTATTTTGGTGTTGACAGTTCGGGAATCTGTCAGCCAGCAGCTGGGGTCGAGTCTGCGGAACTTCAGCAAGTGTGGGATTGTGTCTTCGGGACTTCAGTAGTGTGAGGTGAGTTACCTTCCAATAGCGGTGGGTCTACGGCCACAATGACGGCCCACCAGTAGGAATTGTATGATAGATGTTTGTCTCTATGATATTCATCTAGGGTTGCTACTACTTGTTATATGTTATTATGCTAGTATGATATGATGTTATGTGCTAGTGACAGTAGGGGAGATAATCCCCCAAAATACCAGTCGATAGGGCCGAAGGGGCGGTCAGGCCCAGCCATGCTAGATAGATTATGTGATGTATGTGTTATGTGGTAGTAGTAGGGGTAAAATAGTCCCCAGTATCCGGTCGAGAGGACCAAAGGGGAGGCCAGCTCCCAGATATGCTAGTCAGTATCCGGTCGAGAGGACTGAAAGAGAGGCCAGCTCCCAGACATGCTAGTCAGTATCCGATCGAGAGGACCGAAGGGGAGACCAACACCCAGATATATTAGTCAGTATCCGGTCGAGAGGACCGAAGGGGAGACCAGCACCCAGATATGCCAGTCAGTATCCGGTCGAGAGGACCGAAGGGGAGGCCAACTCCCAGATAAACTAGTTTGTATCCAGTCGAGAGGACCGAAGGGGTAGGTCGGGCACCCAGATATGCCTGACAATATATGTATGTTATGTGATTGTATGGTATGCGGTATGATGGGGGAACTCACTAAGCTTCGTGCTTACGGTTTTCAGTTTTGGTTTTAGGTACTTCGTGTTTAAAGGAAAGTAGCCGGCTTTATCGCAGCGCATCACACTATGGTTTTCCACACATGAGATCTTTGGGATTACACTCTGATATTATTTTATGATAACACGTTTGATTATTTCTACATTGGTTTTGACATGACATGATATTACGTATGTTTTATTACACTGTTAGTTTATAATGACGTATTTAAAAATGAAATTTTTGGCCTGTATTTTTGGGATGTTATAAGTTCAATGTTAACTTTTTATATGCTCACAAAGTCTGTAAGGATAGTATGTATGAGGTTGTGTTTAATGAACATAGTTTCAAAATTCAGGGATTACAATCAAAAGAGATGGTGGGGAATGGTAGGGAATCTAGAGGTCTCTATTACATATATATATTATACCTTCAGGTTATTCATTTAGTTCTAATTCTAATGTATGTTATGTTTCTAAGCTTACATGGCATAGTAGACTTGGCCATCCCTCTGATCAAGACTTAAATTCCTTAAATACTAAACTTAACTTTCTTAATGAATCTTTACCCCCTTATGACATTTTTCATAAGGCTAAGCAAATCAGGGAATCCTTTTCTTCTGGTCAACATGTTTCATCTAACTTAGGTGAGGTAATTTATCTAGATATGTGGTGTCCTTATAGGATGACCACTTCAGAAGGGTTTAGGTTTTTCCCTACTATAGTGGATGATTTCACTAGGGCAAATTGGGTATATTTGCTAAAATCTAAAAATGAAGTTTATAAGCGTGTTACTGCCTTCTTTAATATTTTGTTCATCAGAGCTCATGTGTTTACACACCCCAAAAAACTGGGGTTGTGGAAAGAAAACATAGACATATTTTGAATGTAGCTAGATTTTTAATATTTCAGTATGGGTTGTCACTGAGTTTTGGGGTGAAGCTGTTCTTACCTTAGTTTTCTTAATTAGTAGAACACCCACTTCAGTTTTGAATGAAGCTTCACCTTATGAACTTATGTACAACTCCTCCCATAGTTTTGATAAACTTTGAGTTTTTGGGAGTCTTTGTGTTGCAACTAAGCTGAATAGTTTTGATAAATTTTCTGAAATGGGTAGAAAAGTGTATTTTTCTTGGTCATTCTTTTGAACAAAAAGGTTACAAAGTTTTAAGTCTTGATTTAAATATTGTTTTTGTTTATAGAGATGTAAAGTTTTACGAATCTGTGTTTCCTTCCAAGCTTAATTCATCTGTTGGTGATAAATCTAGTTATTTTGTTGACCCAAATGTCCCATTTTTATGTGATGAGCCTTTGTTATCTAGGTCTCTTCAAGAAAACTTTAGTTTAGGTGATTTAGGAGTAACCCCTCAATTTGATGGTGCTCGGGCAGTTCATAACCTGGTTGAGACCCCTACTAGTGGGGTCAACAACCAGACTAATGAGGTACATGTACCTCAGGTTAATGTGGATGCTCCCGCTGATGGAAAGTAGTTTGGAACATAATAATCCTTCTGATGGACACTCTTTAGGGGTCACTCGCTCTGGTAGGAATGTTCATTTGCCAACTATATTTTATGACTATGTTGTTGCAAGTTCTCATAAGTATGGCGTAGAGAAGTTTGCAAGTTACTCTATTCTAGATAACGAAAATAAATGTTTTGTGTCTAATCTTAAAAAAAACATCTGAACCTAAAACTTATTTTGAGGCTTTCTCTTACCCTAATTAGGTCAAAGCCATGAATGAAGAAATTAAAGCTTTATCTAAAATCATACTTGGGATATTGTTGACCTTCCCAAGGATAAGAAGCCAATTGGTTGTCGTTGGATCTTTAAAATAAAATCAAGGTTAAATGGTGAGATTGAGAGATATAAGGCTAGACTTGTTGCTAAAAAGTATTATTAAAGGGAAGGAATTGACTATGAGGAGACTTTTTCTCCTATTGCAAAAATTGTCACAGTTAGACATGTTATTTGTATTATTGTTAACCATTATTGGCCTCTCTTTCAACTTGATGTTAATAACAATTTTTGTATGGTGATTTAATTAAGGATGTTTATATGACTTTACCTAAGGGATATCATTCTAAAAATGGTGCTAGAATTTGTAAATTAGTCAAATCATTATATGGACTAAAAATAGGCTCCTAGAAAATAGAATGAAAAATTGTGTTCATCTCTGTCTAGCTTTGGTTTCACTTAGAATATTAGTGATTATTCACTGTTTGTGAGGTATAAAAATAACACCATTGTTATTTTGCTAGTATATGTGGACGATATAATCTTGATTGGACACTGTATTGTTGAAATTGAAAATGTTAAATTGTTTCATAAGTCACAATTTCGAATAAAGGATTTAGGTTTATTGGACTATTTTTTTGGGAATAGAAGTGTTACCTGTAAATGGTGGTGTTTGCTTAAATTAGAGAAAATATTGTTCGGAACTTTTACATGAGTTTGAAATGTTGGCTAGTAAACTTATTAAGACACCTCTAGAGGTTAACTTTGTTTTTAATCATGACTGTGATGATAATTCTAATTACAATGTTAATATTTCAAAAGCTTATGGGAAAATTTATCTATCTTACTGTGACCAGATCTTATATAAGTTATGTTGTACAAGTTTTAAGTCAGTATATGCATAAACCTCATAAGTGCCATTTAAATGTTGCTTTTAGATTGTTATAATACTTAAAAGATTGTCCTAGAAAAGGTGTTTTGTTTTCTAAGTCAAATTCTTTTGATCTTGTTGGATATATGGATGTTGATTGGGCTAAGTGCCTATCAACAAGAATGTCTATTACTAGTTATTTGGTATATTTTGGTGATTCTATGGTTTCTTGGAAAAGTAAAAAAACAAAGTACAGTGTCCAGATCTTCTAATGAGTCTGAATATTGTGCTTTAGGTACTATTACTTGTGAAATTTTATGGATTTTAAAAATTTTGAATGATTTTGGTCATAAAAGATTTAACTCCTATTAAATTATTTTGTGATAATGAATCTACAATAAAGTTAGGGTTAAACCCTATTTTTCATGAAAAAACTAAACATTTCAAGATAGATGTTCATTTTGTAAAAGAAAAAATTGAAAATGGAATTGTAAAAGTTATTAAAATTGATTCTTCGATTCAGAATGATGATATTTTGACTAAGTCTCTAACTTCTTTACAACATGATTTTTTGTCAAAAAACTTGGGCTTATGAATATGTTTGCATGTAAGTGATTTTTTGTTGTCTCAAATGATAAGTTTGAGAGGGGGTATTGGAAATATTTATCTAAAAATGGAAACTTATTATTTTGGGTTTGTGAGTATTGAATATATGTTGTCGGGTATTTTCTGTAACTTTCTTGTATTTGTGGGGTTACTTGTGTATGTTTTATATAGTTTTTTTTTGTGTTCCCAGGTTTGTCGAGCCAAACCCAATCCGCATTGGGTATTTAATGTTCAAATGCAACTCATTTCATTCAGAACTTAAGTTTAGTCTGATAGATATTCTCTCGTTTCACTCTTCGTCTCTATATTAGGGTTTTAAT